AAGGATCCTATTGCTGTGATGAAACATCATAACTAAAAGCAAATTGGGGAGGAAAGGGTTTATTCTACTTACACTTTCATATCACAGTCCAGTCAGAACAGGAACTCAAACAGGGTAGGAACCCAGAATCAGGAGCTGATGCAGAAGCCATGGAGGGGTGCTGCTTACTGGCTTGTTCCCCATGGTGTACTCAGCCTGCTTTCTTGTAGAACACAGGACTACTAGCCCAGAGATGGCACCACCCACAATGGGCTGGGGCCTTACTAGTTAAGAATCCTACAGCCAGATCGATATTATGAAGGCACTTTTTCAGTTGAGGTTCCTTCCCTTCAAATAACTCTAGCTTGTGTCAAGCTGACATAAAACTAGCCAGGACAACTGACCCCCTTGTCAACTTGGCACACAAACACATCACCATTAAGCCACAACCTTTCCTTTCTTGTTTATCCCCAAGATCTCACATTAGTATGAACATCATAATATAAAACATTTCAAATTTTAAAAGTCTCACAGTCTTTAACAATTCAGCCTCTTTAAAATCCAAAGTCTTAAAATTCAAAGTCTCTCAACTGTGGGCTCCTGTAAAATCAAGAGGGAAGATCCAGAGCACAGTCATAATCAAATCAAAGCAAAACCAAATTCCAACAATATAAATAACTCAAATATCAATTATCTGAGATCCACTCACAATCTTCTGGGCTCCTCCAAAGACTTGAGTCTCTTCTCCAGCTCCGCCCTCTGCAGCACACACAGCTTGTCTACTGGGCTCCAGCTGGCTCCACTCCACCACTGCTACTGTTCTTGGTAGTCATCTGCAGTACTGATAGCTCCAAAATGCTGGTGTCTTCTGCTGCCACTGGGCTGCACTTTCACCAATAGCCTCTCATAGGTTCTCCTCATGGTGCCCAGCCTCAACTTCTTTGCATGACCCCTTCAGTCCTGGGTGTTCAGCTGCCACTGAGGCTTCACTTTCACCGATGGTCTCTCCTGGCCCCTCACAGTGCCAAGCCTCAGGGGCTTTCCATGACCCCTTCACACCTTCAAAACCAGTACCACCTGGGCGACTCTTACACATGACCAAGTCTGGTTGCCAGCACAAGGTACAACCTTGGCCACCTCTGGAACACAGCTTCTGTGCACTGACTCTCAGGAAACACTTCCCAGACAATTTCACCTCTCTCTCTTTCTCTCACTCTCTCTCTCTCTCTCTCTCTCTCTCTCTCTCTCTCTCTCTCTCTCTCTCAACAGGATTTCTCTGTGTATCCCTGGCTGTCCTAGACTTTGCTCTGTAGAGTAGGCTGGCCTTGAACTCACAGAGATCCACCTGCCTCTGCCTCCCGAGTGCTGGGATTAAAGGTATGTGCCACCGGCCGGGCGGTGGTGGCGCACGCCTTTAATCCCAGCACTCGGGAGGCAGAGCCAGGCGGATCTCTGTGAGTTCGAGGCCAGCCTGGTCTACAAAGCAAGTTCCAGGAAAGGCGCAAAACTACACAGAGAAACCCTGTCTCAAAAAACCAAAAAAAAAAAAAAAAAAAAGGTATGTGCCACCACTGTCACGCAAGGAAGCTGGTCTCTTCTTAATCACCACTAAATTCTAGCTCCAGCTGACCAGCATCGAATACCCCAGCAAAGTAAAGTTTTGCTCTAGTGGTTCTGGGATCTTGTTAATCACAGCTGATTCTTCAGGCCCAGCTAACCAGCACCACAGAATCTTAATTCAAAATAACAGAAGGGCCCAGTAGAGTCTTTAAACTTCCTTCTGGAACTTCACAAAGCAGGCCTCCATCCTCACCACTCTTGTCTTCCAAGCTCCCACAGAACAGCTCACCAAACGTTAAGCACTCAATGACTTTTCTAACCTAAAGTTCCAAAGTCCTTCCACAATCCTCCCAAAAACATGATCAGGTCTGTCACAGCAATACCCTACAATCTTGGTACCAACTTCTCTTAGTTGGGGTTTCTATAGTTGTGATGAAACACCATGACCACAAAGCAAGCTGGGGAGGAAAAGGTTTATTCGGCTTACACTTTCCCCTCACACTTCATCATTATAGGACAGGAACTCAAGCAGGGCAGGAACCTGGAGGCAGGAGCTGATGCAGAGGCCATGGAGGGGTGCTGCTTACTGACTTGCTCCCCATGGTTTGCTCAGTCTCCTTTCTTATAGCACCCAGGACCACCAGCCCAGGGATAGCACCACCCACAATGGGCTGGGCCCTCCTCCATCAATCACTGAGAAAGCGCCCTGCAGTCAGATCTTATGGAGGTGTTTTCTCCAGTGAGGTTCCCTCCTTTTAGATGACACTAGCTTGTGTGAAGTTGACACAAATCATCCTGCACAGCTTTCCTTAGGCTCCTCAGCTTCCACACACATCAGTAGGGACTGCTGGCTGAATTCATGAGTGGAGTGCTTCCCAGTGCCATCTGAGACCTGAACAGCACCAGAAACTCTTTTAACTGTTGCTGATGAGCCCGTCTGCCATGCTGCCGATGTCTTCACTCTCTGCAGGAGAACAGCCACCTCTGAATGACCATAGACCACCACAGAGGATGACCTTCAGCTTCCTGTCCTGCCCACTTGCCTGCCCAGCCAGCACCCTCCCACCTCCTCCACGACCTAATCTACCTGGATCTTTTCCGTCTTTTCTAGCTCCTTCCTTACGGTTTGAATCTCTTCACCCTAAACGATAACCTTCTCTTGAAGCCATGGCGTCTACAGCCTTTACTTCGTCAAGTGACAGACAGACTGCACCGCTGGCTTGTTACCTGTCACCGTGTCTTCCGGTCCTGTCACCCCCCCTGCACCCTACCGCCCTGCAGAGCTACAGTCTTTCATCATGATTACAGGTGGTATTAATTTTGAATATCCCATCCCCATCTTTTCCAGAATCCAGAGATAGTGCCAGCTGCTGAAGGACCCACGCATGCCCTTCTCTCTCTCCTAGCACCTTCTGGCAACATCACCCACTACCCAGGCTTCTAAACCTTAGCACATGTGCATGCACATGCGTGTGCACGGGTGCGCGCGTGCACGGACACACACACACACACACACACACACACACACACACACACACACACACACACACACCAGCCTCCCCCGCTCCCTGCATAGTCATCACTATATCGTTTCAGAATGCCTCCCAGCCAAGCCTTGTCCTTCCCTGTCCACTTTCCTGGCTTTCCCTCCAGCCTCCATTGTTTACATCATGGCTTCCAACTGGTCCTTCTCACCTCACACCACCACCATCCACCGCTATAGAAAGTACTCAAAGCTCGCTCTACTTCTGTGTCCTTTATCCATCCTTCTCTTCTGCTATTCAAACCTGCCTTGAGCCGGGCAGTGGTGGCGCACGCCTTTAATCCCAGCACTGGGGAGGCAGAGGCAGGCGGATCTCTTGTGAGTTCAAGGCCAGCCTGGGCTACAGAGTGAGATCTAGGACAGAGAAACCCTGTCTAGGAAGGAATGAAAGAAAGAAAGAAAGAAAGAAAGAAAGAAAGAAAGAAAGAAAGAAAGAAAGAAAGAAAGAAAGAAAGAAAGAAAGAAAGAAAGAAAAGAAAGAAAGAAAGAAAGAAAATCTGCCTTGAATCTGCCAGGCACAGAGGACAGAACTCAATTTGCTTTGAGTTCACATCTTTCATCCTCTGATGCAGGTTTTTCAGCATCCGTTCTATGGAGCAAAGGTATCTCAGCACATTTGCTCAGTGCACAGATTGCATCTGCTTGAAATATGTTTAGTTTCAGCCTCGAGCGCTGAGCACATTTCAACCGAAGATGCCTAGATGATAATTTGTGCGCCCATCTGCCAGATGAAAACAGCAGTGCTCAGCACCTCCAAGCGTTCACAATAACAGGAATGGCCCCAGCCACAGCCAAGTCCTGCTATTTCTCTTCAGACATATTTCCCAGCTGTCTTGGGTTGCTATCCCCTCGAGGCAAGGCTTTCTGACCTAAGCTGTTGTCTTTAAGTCCCCAATGCCCAAAACACTTGTAAAACTCACAACTGTGAAGACCAAACACATCCATCTCTGTTTTAGCAGAGGCACTTAAAAGAGGAGTCTGTATCTCCAAGACGAAGTTTGCCTTATTTTAGAGTTCTACATTTGTTTTAGTATGAATGCTTAAAAATATGACTGTTCTGTGATTTGTATGATGGTATGCCCTCCAAAATTAATGTTGAAATACAATCTCCCAAATGCCCAAGATGATCATTTCACAAGGACTCCTTCCTCCTGAATGGAATTAGACCCTTATAAAAGGGCTCAAGGTTGACAGGGTAATTCTCCAGCCCTCCCATCCCCTCCCCTCTTCTCTGTGAGGATTCATATTAATCTCTGGAGGCTGCAGCAACAAGACACCATCTTGGAAGCAGAGAACAGCCCTTCACCAGCCATAAGTCCTTCCGACGCCTTTATCTCAGACATCCCAGTCCCCAGGAGTGAGAAATAAATCCCTATTGTTAATAAATTACCAATATGTGGCATTCTTGCTACGGCAGCACAAAGAGACTTCCACAAACCCGTGAATCAGATTTTCATATTTATAGATATTATGGCCTAAGGCCAGGCTACCTCTCTTTAACATCAAGTCTGTTTAAAGGAAAAATAAACAAAGAAATAACCATTATCCATCAAGTGGCTATATGTCTGGAGTAGTTTCTTCTGCATTTCTCTTTTCAAGAAGGCTTCAGGGTGAATGATTTTTTGGGGAGCTCAGCTTATAAACTAGGATTTGGAAACAGGTGAGCGAGTCAATTTTCTCAGCAAGCGCAGCTGATAGGCAGTACACACAGCGTCGAAGCCCAGGCAAGCTGCTCAGTCAGTCATCTTACCACTGCGTTACTCTGCACGCCTTAGTGCTGGATCAGCAAGAGGGTACACTTTAGATAGGAAGCATGAAAATAACGGGAGCTTTGGACATGATGCTCTGTCCCGCCAGGAAACCCAGACAGAAAACTGAACCCTACACCATGCAACAGTGCTAAATATTTCATTTTTACCTGTCAGAAAGGTAACCAAAAGTAATTGCTCCCAGCAGCATGCCGAATATAAACAAGGGCTGGATCATGTTTGCATACCATTTCTGGTCACAGACCAGGTTCAGGCTTCTCCCCACAGAATTTCTCCATTTAGTTTGGTCACATACATAGCCATCAGAGCAATGTCAAGATAATAGTCACTGCACTCATAGCCCAAATGCGACGTGTTCTCCCTCCAGGCCCTGCTACATCTGTGAGCTCCCAGATCTCCCCATCCGGCAGCTCCGCTGTAACGTGGTCTTTCTGATCTGGGGACCTCAGGGCCAGTATGTCCTCCAACCTCCAAACAGATAAGTTGTGGAAAACAGCCTTCTGAACTTTGCCTGGGGGCTTGCAGGCATGCTCAGGGATAATTGTCATGAACGCAGAAGACAGGTACTGGATGCCACGGGAGATGTTCTGGCAGGCACAAATGAGATACAGGACTATCTGGAACCTGTAAAGAGAAGAGAGGACTGGTTGTTATATCTGGTCCATGGATGGGAGAAGGACGTAAGTAAGTATGGAGGGACTCCATCTGCTTAACCTTAATACACTTACACATATAGATGGGTAAATGCAAAAATAATTACAGGTGCTTCTCTCTTATGTGTGTGTATTTTTTCAAGTACATGCACTAAATTTTAGTTCCACCCTCATCTCATTAAGTCATTCCAACATACAAGTTTGCAAGCTAGTTCAAGTTTATTGACCAAACAACCTTTGCTTGGCAAATAAGTCATGGAGAAGATTGGAAAGCCAATTTTTAACTTAAGAAACCTTCTTATGTACTAATTTTTCTAAGCCATACGTGAGCGTATCTCTACTTTTCAACATGCATTTAGAGCACTGGGTGTCGCCATTTGCCCTTGAAGGTAATAAAACCTGCTCTCGCTGTGACCAGAAGTCAACATCCACGGTCCCAAACTTAAGTTTCTTCACTCTGCCTCTAACTGCAGAACATTGAGAGCTTGACTGGTTCTCAGCCAGCGACTGGTTAAAGTTACAGGCAGCACACACTGACAGCCTGGGAGATGCAGAATCTGGGTGTGAAACGTAAAGAGAGCTGCGGTGTACCCGTGAGTATTTGTTCTTCAACTCAACACAAGAGTCATTTGGAAAGAGGAAATCTCAAAGGAGAAAATGCTTCCATCCGATTTGCCTGTAGGCATATCTGTGGTGGGTTTTCTTGTTTTGGGGGGGGCCAGCTCACTGTGGGCAGTGCCATCCTAGGGCAGGTGGTCCTGGGGTTTATAAGAAAGCAGGCTGAACAAGCCATGAGGAACAAGCCAGTGAGCAGCACCCTCCATGGCCTCTGCATCAGCCCCTGCCTCCAGGTTCCCGCCTTGAGTTCGTGGCTTCCCTCAGTGGACTATGACCAAGCAAGACATTTAAACCTAATAAAGCTGTTCCTCCCCGGGCTGGTTTTGGTCAATATTTTTATCATAGCAATAGAAGAGAAAACTAGATATGCTGTTTATCTGAAGCCTTTGGGATTGTACCCAACCAGTCTCATCCTATGGAGTGGCTCCACCCCAGACCTCATACTCCATGATCATCTCAAAGGTGATTTGCATAGATGTGCTTCCTTTCCCTAGCAACACCCACTGAGACAAGAGGGGCAATCAGGGCTTGCCACATAGTGTGGCAACTATGTCCTGGGAGGGAAGCTGATTACATCTGCCAGTGGTTCTGGAATTTCCTCCACTTGCACATACATGTGCACACACAGACACATACATATCCATACCACACATACACAAAAAGACCAACAAGAACCAATGGCAAAAGCATGGGATGGCATCTAACAGGCACACGGACCTCACTTTCTGCTCGACATTGGACCATTTTCCCTACCGCAAGCTGATCCCCAAGTCAGCCCTGCTCCCCATCTGTCATGGGGAACTAGAGCAAGCCGGGACTTCCTGAGAACTTACTGGGTAGTAAGACTTTCACATACATCACTGTGGCCAACTACAAGCCATGGCTACAAACGCTTTGACCCCCTTCTCACACCCAGGGAGCAGTGTCTGACCCTGAGGACAACGGGAACAGCTGCTGGGGGTGGGGGGAGGGAGTTGCTGGGGACAGCAGCTCTGCCCATGCGTGGTCCCTGAGTGACCCAGTGGTACAGATTCCAGTCAGAACAGACTCTCCCTCTGTAGTCCAGACTGGCCTAGAACTCGCTGGGGAGGCCAGGCTGGCCTCAAACACAGCACTCTCCTGCATCGGTCTCCCTGGGACTACAGGCATGAGCCACGGTACCTGGCTATTGAGTGATTTCTAACCTAGACCCTTAACCAAACACGTACTACATGATTAGTCAGCTCCTCCATACAAGGGGAAAACAAGGCATGACTACATCCGTCCTATCTTGTAGAACTTCTGTGAGGACCAGAGTGGCCATAGAAACCCCACAGTAACCTTTGCTCTTTGTTGTTTCTTTTTAGAACAATGTCTTCCTATGTAGCCCAGGCTGGCCTGGATCTTCAGTCAATTCCTGTCCTGTCACCTCCCCGAAACTGGAACTACCTGTGTGTGCCACTTCTGACCATGATAAATATTTCTGCCGTTATTTTTAAGCGTCCACTTTACAGATGAGCACGTGGTAAGTGAAGCATCCAGGCCCATTACAGTTTGTACATGGGAGATGATCCCTTTGTCTCTGTCACTCTGCTGCAGGCGGGTCTTTAACCCTACCCCCTCCATTTCCCAGCCGTTCAAACAAAGATGCCAGCCCTTCTTGTGCAGTGAGCAACAACTCAAGAGCTGTGTGTAAGCTCCCTACACAGAGTACCCGGCACATGTTGGGTATCTTATATGATAGCCAGCCCAGAGAACCGTCCCGGGCCAGAGGGAGAGCCATCTGGAGCAGAAATAGGTAGTCATCCTGGACACCGGTGGGGCTGGCAGTTTGTCTACACCTGTGACTGTGCCTCCCAATCGTGGTCTTCTTCTTCCAGTCGATGATCTAGAGAGCACCCCAAGTCCCAACTTCCCTGTAGGGGTGACTACTGCCTACACCCACCAAGTTCAAACGGACTCCAGAGCCTCCTGGGGCCAGAAGCCAAGAGGACAAGCCAGGTCATGGGGTTGTGGTGGGCCAAGCCTCTGCATGCACGGGGCAAAGAGGGCATGGAGAAGCTGTAGAACCCCATCCCAACAGACAGAAGAGACGCCCCTGCGCCCCCAGCGCGTGCCCCACCCCATTCTGGCCCCATGACCTTCTCTGCCTCTCTACCTGCCAAAGTGTCCCACGTGGTCAAAATCAGTTCCACGTTGCAGGACTCCATGTCCCTGTCACGGATCCGACGCCCTGGGCTGCGAGCGCTGTGCCGCTCCGTGCCCCACCCGCCCTGCCTGCCCCGGCCCCGGGTGCCCCTGCCAGGGTGGCCTCCTGCCTGCCTTCCCAGCAGCCAGCACGTCTTGGGGTGGGGACTCGGGGCACACTCTGCTGCTCCATTGCATGTGCCTTCAACCTCTGCCAGATGGCTCCCCACACCCTCCACGCTGCTGCCACATCCCCATGATTCAGGGAAGCATTAACACGTCTAGAAAGTTTCATAAAAAGCAAAGCCCCTGGCTTAGCCTCGAGACTTCAAGAGCACCCCATCTTTAGCAGGACACGCCCTTGCTTCCTAAACTTTAATGCTTAAGAATCCACTGTATAGCGGGTTTTAAGTGCACATTTATTTCTTGACTCCACTCCCGGTAGCCAAGCTCAGGAGCTGCCTACCTCTGCCTGCCCTGCCCAACCCTCAGCCCACAACAGTGGCCCTCAGTGTTAGGACTGCAGGCCAACTTGGTTTTTAATTCACACTCCATAACCTTTTTTCTCAAAGAACGTTCTTGTTGCTCAACCTTTAAAATAGAACTTGAGAGCCTGGAGAGACTGCCCAGCAGTTAGAGCACTTGCTTGGAGCACCTACCACTGATAACCCCTAGTAACTTCAGTCCCAGGAATTGGTCGCCCTCTTCTGGCCTCCACAGGCACCTGCACTTAGGTGCACACACCTAGTTATAGACACAAAATTTCAAAAGAAAAAGAGCTGATGAGCTCCTCCCTACTGTGCTGAGGGAACCAAAGACAGTGTGAGTCGTCGGGTAAATAGTCTTGTCACACCCAGGCAATACTGTTTGATCAGCCCCCCCACACACACCTCTGGCTCTTAGAATCACTCCTCCCTCCCTCTCTCCCCTCCTCCAATGCTTCTCTGACTCACCACACTCTTCATCACTACCTCTCTGGCCACCTGACTGACCTCCTCACTCATCCTCACACACGGCACTCGCCACAAACTTCGGACTTTTACACTCACTATTCCTTCTACCTGAAACTTCTTGGCTCTTCAGTCACTCCACTGTTTAGATGTTGCCTCTGCTCCTGTAATACCCGTCATCATTACCTCCTTTCAGGTTGCTCTTTTTTATTTTTCTTCAACCTGACTACGTGCCTAATACAACATGTGGAGCCTAATCTCACTTCTATAAGAAACAAGCCCCATGACAGGAACCACTTTGACATGTAGTAGGTGCTCAATAAATGTGTGTTAGACAAATAAATGGGCACAAATCTATGTATACAAAGTAATACAAAACTGAAGCAACTTCCTTAGAATAGCAGTTTTTCCACGCTTGGATGGCAGAAGGGAAGAGCCTAGCTCAAACTTCACTCATGACCTGGGCAAGGGTCAGACTTCCCAAGGAAGAGTCTACTAACAGTGTGCTTCCCCTTAGAACCACACCCAAAAAATGCATATTGACACCAACAGAGAACACAGATAGGTTAGTGACTGGAGAGATGCGGGAGGAAGCGGGTGGGGGAAGCAGGAGGCTAAGAGTCTTGCCCGACGCCCCAGCTTTCAGAGGGTTTGTGTGTGTGGCTTCGTCTCTGTATAAGGAGTCACTAAACTGGGTAGCTTGCACCCTCGGCAGGAAACTATTCTGATGTCCTGCAGCCCGGTGGCCTCCAGGCCCAGACCCTCCTGGAAGCCTCCCCTTAGAGTCATATCTAGTTCCCCCCAAGACACCAGCACAGTAGAATGAAGACACAGAGCCAGGACAGCGGTTAAGTTCATGGATAGACAAGGGCGGCCCAGAGCCACGCTAATAAAAAAGACGATGGTTGTGGCATGTCTTCCTGTACGCTGTGAGTATGTGCTGCTCTCATCGGTTGGTAAAAAGCTGTTTTGGCCAACAGCCAGGAAGTATAAGGTTAGGCGGTACAACCAAACTGGGAATGAAGAAGGGTGACGTCTAGTTCTGACTCATCACACTCTTCATCACTACCTCTCTGGCCACCCGGCCTCCTCACTCATCCTCACACACAGCACTCGCCCAAAACTCCTGAGAGACACCAGCCAGCCACCGGAGGAGCAAAATGTATTAGAATATAAGTAAAGCCACAAGACATGTAGCAAAACATAGATTAATAGAAATGGGTTAATTTAAGTTGTAAGAGCTAGTTAGTAACAAGCCTGAGCAATAGGCCAAACAGTTGGTAATTAATATTAAGCCTCTGAGTGATTATTTTAAAAGCAGCTTCGGGAACAAGTGGGACAGAAAAGCCTCCATTTATAGATGATGAATTGCCATAAGGCTGGTTTCCAGTATACTGGACATATACTACCCAGTCATGCATAAGAAGTCACCAACAGGGTTGGGGATTTAGCTCAGTGGTAGAGTGCTTGCCTAGCAAGCACAAGGCCCTGGGTTCGATCCTCAGCTCAAAAAAAAAAAAAAAAAGTCACCAACAAAGTCACACAGGGATTTGGCATGATGGGGAGGAATGGCAGATGATATTCCATCCTGCATGCCTTGGTGAAACTCTCTCATGCTGTGCCTCCCCGCCCCCTGCCCCATCCACCCCCAAACCCAGACAATCTGCAGCAATTTCCCGGGCTGCATGATCATAGAGAGCCTGGCTAGAGGGCAAATTCCAGGGGTAAGTTTTGTTTTAGCCTCCATCCCACTCCCCTTCTGACCCTGCTCCAGGGACTCCATCACTTCTGCATCTTCTCCTCCACCATGTCACCATACTGTACTCTGCTTATTTAAATTGAACTTATCTTTAAGAGAGAGCAACAGGCCGGCTCTGGTGGCACAGGCTGGAAGGATTTGCTGAAGGAGGCAGAGACAGGAGGATGTGGAGTTCGAGGCCAGCTTGTACTACACATTTGCCGGGTAGTGGTGGCACACGCCTTTAATCCCAGTACTCGGGAGGCAGAACCAGGAGGATCTCTGTGAGTTCAAAGCCAGCCTGGTCTACAGAGTGAGATCCAGGACAAGCACCAAAACTACACAGAGAAACCCTGTCTCGAAAAAAATTAAAAATGAAAAAAACAAAACAAAAAAACAGTGCAATCCATCTTACTCTGCTATGGACTCCTCCTGTAATCAACTTTGGCAAGCTAAGCTGAACTCACAGCTTTAATCTTAAACTATGCTTCCTATTTCTCTCTCACACACACACATACCGCCCCCATGCCCTTGACTCATAACAGTGTACTTGTGTGAGATTTAATGACTAGATCTACAAGCACTGTTGAAAGCAGGAACATTGGAATATTTAGACAATGGATGACCCACAGAAGATGACGAGAGTATCATGTGCATGTAGGCTGATAATGTCTGTTTATGGGTCTGCTTGCAGCTTTTGGTTGGTGAGATCAGAAAATCATCTTCTCTCACAAAACTCATGTAAAATATTGATTAAGACAAAGTTTTTCATACCTTTTTTGTACCATGGTTAATCTGTTGTTCAATAAATGGAAATGATGAGCCGGGCTGTGGTGGCGCTCGCCTTTAATCCCAGCACTCGGGAGGCAGAGCCAGGCGGATCTCTGTGAGTTCGAGGCCAGCCTGGGCTACAGAATGAGTTCCAGGAAAGGCGCAAAGCTACACAAAGAAACCCTGTCTCAAACAAACAAACAAACAAACAAATAAATAAATAAATAAATGGAAATGATGACCCTTGGTTAGGGGGACTGGGCTCACTCTTGGCTAAATGATTCCAGAAGCCTGTCTCTTCCATGTGACACTGTTACAGTGTGCAATTTTTAAAGTTATACTATGTTTTATTTTGTGATATTAACCTGGTATCTTGGGGGATAAGCAAGAAAGGATAGGTTATGGTTTAACAGTGATGTGTTTGTGTCAAGTTGACAAGGGGTCAATTGTACTGTTTAGTTTTTGCCAACTTGACGTGAACTAGAGTCACCCAAGAAGACAGACTCTCAACTGAGGAATTGTCTCTATAAGAGTGGCCTGTGAGCATTTCTGGGGAACATTTTTTTGATTGATGGCTGATGTAGGGCCTAGGCCACTGTAGTCAGCGTCACGCCCGCACAGGTGGTCCTGGGTTATATAAAGAAGCAAGTTGAGTAAGCCATGGAGAGCAAGCTGGTCAGGAGCATTCCTCCATGGCTTCTGCTTCAGTTCCTACCCTGAGCTCCCACCTTGAAGGACTGGAAGCTGTAAACTCCCCCAAGTTGCTTTTGGTCAGTGTTTTATCACAGCAACAGAAACCAAACTAGGTGAGTGAGACAATAAATTTCTGTTATCTATGTCACCCTCATCTGTGGAACTTTCATTGCACCTCAAGACACTTGGGTATCCATTCAAAAATATTTGATTCTGGTACATGGAGATGGCAAAGAAGTTAACGGTGATGCTCTTCCAGAGGACCTGAGCTTGGTTCCTAGCATCCATGTTGGGTGGCTCACAACCACTGTAATTCTAGCTTCAGGGGTCTAACATCCTCCTCTTCTGGCCTCTGCAGGCACCTATGCTCATGTGCACATACCCATGCATAGACACATATTTAAAAATAGTAAAATAAATCATTTTAAAAGAAATATTTGGCCGGGCGGTGGTGGCGCACGCCTTTAATCCCAGCACTCGGGAGGCAGAGGCAGGCGGATCTCTGTGAGTTCGAGACCAGCTTGGGCTACCAAGTGAGTTCCAGGAAAGGCACAAAGCTACACAGAGAAACCCTGTCTTGAAAAAAAAAAAAACAAAAAAAAAATTAAAAAAAAGAAATATTTGATCCACAAACAAATAAAAATAAACATAATTCCCTTCTTTTTCGTACAAATGATTATTCAACTCTCCTTGCTTTAGCTGAAAAAAAAAATAGGCCAACTTAAACATTGCTTTAAGAAAAAACTTCATGATAGTTTTCCATTATATGAAGGTACCACCACAGTTTGTTATCCAGACTTCTAATGCTAAACATTTAGATTGCTTCCAAATTTTCATGATTATAAATAATTCTATGATGAACGACTTTGTCATAA